AAAATTTTGTTTCCAAGAAGAAACTAGATAGTCACTTGTCTGAAATGGTATGGGTTCTTCTGCTTGAGCAAGGGGCTGGACTAGAAGACCTCCAAGGTCCCTTCCAATTCTGTTCTATTCTGTTCTGTTCCGTTCTACTATATTCTCTATCGTGTTCTGTTCTCTCCTGTCCTGTTCCATTCCATTCCATTCCACCCCACCCATAACTGAAAAAACTGAAAAAAGTGAGTACAACCCATCTTCCCACTTACAAACTTTTGCAGCAAACCTACTCAGGAGCTTGGCAATTGTCATGCATTCACTATGTTTGCATTGTTTCATGGTCCTGGGGTTGCTATTTCTGACCTTCCCAGCTGGCTTCCAACAAACAAAGTCAATGGGTTGAAGCTGGATTCTCTTAACAACTAGGGCGGTTCGCTTAACAACCATGGCAAAATAGGCCACAACGCTGGGCAACATTCACTGGTCAGCCATCTTGCTTAATATAATCCTCTTTGAGGGAGATGAGCTGTTTAAAAATGGGATCAATGAATAAATAAATAAATTTCCAGAAATGGTGTAGGGTCTCTGGCTTGGGCAGAGGGGTTGGACTAGATGACCTACAAAGGTCCCTTCCTTTCAACTCACTTAATCTGTTAAATCTGTTAAATGGAAGTTCTTGCCCCAAGAGACGTAGTAAGTTAAAGATGACCTAAATTTAGTTTTTATTCCCCCTTTATTTGTACAACTGCTCTTACCCAGAGGTCCCCAAACTTGGCAACTTTAAGACTTGTGGACTTCAACTCCCAGAATTCCTCAGCCAGCACAGCTTACTCTCTTGCAGGCCCTTCCTCTGCAATCTCTCCTCTTTGGGGGATAAGAGAAAAAGAAACAGACACGGCTGGTTGAGGAATTCTGGGAGTTGAAGTCCACAAGTCTTAAAGTTGCCAAGTTTGGGGACTTCTGCTTTTACCCCTTCCTACTTTCCTCCAAATAACAACCCTCCGAGGCAGGTTGGACTGAAAGAAGGGGAACTGGCCCAAAGTCACTCTGCCGCCTTTCACCCTTAAGGGAGAACTAGAACCCCCCTCCCCCAATCTCCCCATTTCTAGATCATCTGTTTCAGCATTACACCAAACTTTGACAAACTGCAGATTTTCTTTAAAAAGACCAAACCCAACCCTTTAAAATTATTTCCTTGTTCCGCTGAAGCTGGAAAAAGCCCCTTGCCTTCCAGAGAAAAGAGGAAATTCATGGGCTAGATGCTTGGCAGAATCTGGACAACCCCAAGGTCACTCTGCCTGTGTGCCATTTTGTGACTTTTACACGATTGACTTAAGCAAATGAGGAAGGTGGCATTTAAGAGAAGTGCTTTTTCCTTTCGGTTTGAAGGATACACTGTCAGCCTTTCTGTCCAGGACTTTCAGTGTTTTTGACCTGGACAACCTAGAACTATGCCGCCTGCGGTGTGACCTAAGCTTAGTACACAAAATTGTCTGCTACAACATCCTACCTGTCAAGGACTACTTCAGCTTCAACTGCAATAACACACGGGCAAACAATAGATACAGACTCAAAGTAAACCGCTCCAAACTCAATTGCAGGAAATACGACTTCCGCAACAGAGTGGGCAATGCCTGGTACTCACTGCCTGACTCTGTTGTTACATTCTCAAACCCCAAAAACTTTAATCTTAAACTGTCTCCCGTGGACCTCGCTCCATTCCTAAGAGGTCTGTAAGGGGGCGTGCATAAGCGCACCAGCGTGCCTACCATCCCTGTCCCACTGTCCCCATTTATTCATACTCGTTTATTATATATATACTTATACCTATTTATACTTATATGTTTATATGTTAGCTTCATACTTATACTTGTTTTCTCATACATGCTTGACAAACAAACAAAATAAATAAATAAGGAAGGTGGCATTTAATAAAAGCGCTTTTACTTTCAGTTTGAAGCATACAGAGCCTCAGTGGTGCAGTGGTTAGAGTGCAGTAATGCAGGCTACTTCTGCTGACTGACGGCTGCCTGCAATACAGCAGTTCAATCCTGACCGGCTCAGCCTGACATCCTTCCAAGGTGGGTAAAATGAGGACCCAGATTTTGGAGGGCAAGAGGCTGACTCTGTAAACTGCTTTGAGAGGGCTGTAAAGCACTGTAAAGAGGTATATAAGTCTAAGTGTTATTGCTATACATTATAAGCCTTTCTGTCCAGGACTTTCAGTGGAAAGGAAAAATCCGTCTCAGCATGATCGGAGCATGCTTGACAAAAATAAATAAATAAATAAATAAATAAGGAAGGAAGGTGGCATTTAAGAAAAGCGCTTTTACTTTCAGTTTCAAGCGTACACTATAAGCCTTTCTGTCCAGGACTTTCAGGGGAAAGGAAATGGCCCTCTCAGCATGATCGGAGCATACTGCTCTGCTTCATCAGTTCAAGTCCAGCCCCCATGGGTCAGAGCACGGGCAAAAATTTTTTGGTTATACAGTAGAACTAGACAAATGGCAGAAATTGTGGGACAATGCCAACTGACCTGGGGGGCTCACATTGCAGCCCTGGTCAAAAGGGCCCAGCAGAGATTTATACTACCTGAGACTTCTCAGGAAACAACCGAATGAAAAACGGACAAGGTCTTTCCAGGTCCAGCTGAAAAGCCTGTGGACCCCACAGCTGCCTATTCTCCCCCGCCCCCAACCCCGGACTCCACGTCGCTCTTCGGATACCAGCTCGGGCTTCTCCGTTGCCAATTCTAGAGTAAGCGATGCCCGCAGGGGGAGAGGACTTGACACACAACGGTTCGTTTGACTGTTCAAAGTTACCACGGCAGTGGAAAAAGTGACTTAGTTTAGTTTAGTTTATTGTCATTGCACCTGGTACAATGAAATCGAACACCACCTTCAGTGCACAACATGACCATGAATATAAACACAAACATATCCTTCACCCTCCACCCATTGAACCAAAAACCCCTGACACTGCACCAACACTGCACTATACAGCAGAATTCAATATCGTTACAGCCCTGGGATAGAAGCTGTTTTTCAGCCTATTTGTGCTTGTTTTTATTATTATTCTGTACCGTCTGCCAGATGGTAATAGTTTAAAAAAAAGGGGGGGTGCCCAGGATGAGATGGATCTTGGAGAATGTTTTGAACTTTCTTAAGGCAGCGGGAGCTATAAAGCTCTTCCAAAGAGGGGAGAGGGCAACCCATGATCCTCAGGGCAATGACGTTCACCCTCTGGAGTGCTTTCCTATCTGCCACTGTGCAACTGGCAAACCATACAGAGGTGCAATAAGTTAAGATACTCTCTGTGGTGCAGCGGTAGAAGGTCACCAGCAGTTTTTCATTCGGCTTTTGTTTCTTGAGAAGTTTCAGGTAGTATAATCTCTGCTGGACCCTTTTGACCAGAGCTGCAATGTGGGCACCCCAGGTCAGGTCCTCTTTTATGCTAACACCCAGAAACTTAAAACTGGCCACTTGCTCCATTTGGTCTCCACTGATAAGCAAGGGCTGATCTCTTCCTTCTGTAGTTCACTATAAATTCCTTGGTCTTATTGGTGTTATTGTCTCCGTCCACCTCATCTCAGTAGGCAGACTCATCCGCCCTGGAGATGAGTCCCACCACTGTTGTATCACCTGCAAATTTAGTAATAGTATCACCAACTTATGACCGTTTCTTACACTAATGACCGTTGCAGCATTCCTATGATTCTGTGACCAAATTTCAGGTGGTTGGGAATCCCAGGGGCATCACATGATTTTCCCTTTCATGACCTTCTGACAAAGACAAGTCATTGGGGAAGCCAGATTCACTTCAGAACTGTGTGACTCACTTAACAAACTGCAGTGATTCACTTAACAAATGGGGCAAGAGCAGTCGCAAAAGGGGGCACGACTAACTAATCTCGGCCAACAAATGTTCCATCCTACACATTGGTAAGAAAAAAAAAATCTATATACCAAATACAGGCGGATATGACCTTGTTGATGACCCTCACTCTGTCAAGGACCTTGGAGTTCTCATATCCAATGACCTAAGCGCCAAAACTCACTGCAGCAGTATTGCCAAAAAGGCTTTAAGAGTTGTAAATTTAATTTGACGAAGCTTCTCCTCTGGTAATACTGATTTGCAAACTAGGGCATTCAAAACCTTTGATAGACCAATACTTGAATGCTGTCTGGAATCCGCACTGTATATCAGACATAAATACAATTGAGCGAGTCCCGAAGTATTTTACCAGAAGAGTCCTACATTCCTCTGTTCCCAACAGAATACCAGACTTGAGATTCTAGGCTTAGACAACCTTGAACTTCGCCGGCTAAGATTGGACTTAAGCATAGTACATGAAATCATGTTTCAACGTCTTACCAGTTAATGAATATTTCAGCTTTAACCTCAACAACACAAGAGCACACAACAGATATAAACTCAATGTAAATCACTCCAAGCTCGATTTCAGGAAGTATGACTTCAGCCACAGAGGGGTCCATGTCTGGAACTCACTACCTGATTCTGTTGCCACCTGCTCAAACCCCCCACTCCTTTACCCTCAAACTAACCTCTTTTGACCTCACCCCATTCCTAAGAGGTCTGCAAGGGGAGGTGCATAAGCGCACCATCGTGCCTACCGCCCCTGTCCTATTGTCCCCAATTATTAATTCCTATTTCTTGTATTTAAACTTGTGTTTATTCTTGTTTCTGTTGTATTGTAAGTTTTTGACAGATAAATAAACAAACAAACAAACAAACTTCAGAAATGTTTCCCTTAGCAACTTAAGGCAGCCTCTGCTTCTCCACCACCCACCTACCCAACCCCGAACTTCCCCTGCGCCCTGCGGACGCCGTCTCGGGCTTCTCCTTCCCCAGCCGCGTTGCTAAGCGAGCCTTGCAGCCCCTTCCTCTCCTCTCCTCTCCCCCCACTCCATCCCAGGACAGCTCCGGCTGGCGCGCGCCTCGGCCAATGAGCGCGCGCTCCGTGGCCGTTCCCTCGTCCGCGCATGCGCTCTCGGCCCTCCAGCAGGCATGGCTGCGAGCACCGGTGGGGAACTTAGGCGGCGGCTGGGGGGTCCGGCGGGAGACGCCCCCGACCGACCGCAGGAGCCGCGCGCCCCTCCGGCGCCTTCCTTGCGCCCGGGTTCCTTCTGGCTGACGCGGCTGGTGCTGCTGCGCGCCACCGCCTTCATTTACCGTAAGTGTGCCCGGCGTGGGGGGCGGGCAGGGGGTGGGGGAAGTCTCCAGGTTGCCCCTCCCCCTCCGGGCATCCCTCTTGCGGCCCAGCCCCCCCCCTCCACAACTGCCCGCCCCCCCTTTCCGTTACTCGCTTCCCTCCAAGCACGGAGGAACCGCCTCTCCGCTCAGGTCAGGGCTCTCCAACCGTGGCCACTTTAAGACTTGTGGACTTCAACTCCCAGAATTCCCCGGCCAGCTTTGCATTGCGTAGCTGGCTGAGGGATTCTGGGAGTTGAAGTCCACAAGTCTTAAAGTGGCCAAGTTTGGGGACCCTTGGTTAGAGGGGATGGCTGCGCTCCAGTTTGGATCACTGTGACGGCCCTAAGTTCAAGGACCAGTCATAAGTAACTTATTTTTCCACCGCCATTGTAACTTTGGGGATTAAATGAATGATTGTTACCTCGACTGCCTGTATGTGGGTCTGAATAAAAACAACTTTGTTTAAGTGGAATCACTTTCATTGCGTAAGTGCACAACTATTACTATTAATCTTCTCATCACTCCTTATCACCCATCCCCTCCCACTTGTGACTATATGACTGTAACCTTGTCGCTTGTATCCTTACAATTTATATGGACTGTTTCCTAGTATGATTTGATTGCTGATTGTCCCCTATGACTATCATTAAGTGTTGCACCTGATGATTCTTGACTCTTGACGAATGTATCTTTTCTTTTATGTACACTGAGAGCATTTGCACCAAGACAAATTCCTTGTGTGTCCAAATTTCACTTGGCCAATAAAGAATTCTATTTCTATCCTATCCTATCCTATCCTATCCTATCCTATCCTATCCTATTTTTTTAATAAAGATTTAAGGCTTGCAGAGCTTGTTAAAATATGCTTATAGTCTTCGTAGTGGTAACTGTTGCTGTTTTCCACAAATATAACCATATTATAGAAACAAAGGCTAGGTTTCTTTTCAGCCATCAAAACTTGGAAACATTGTACTGCAGGCTAGGTTGATTACTGCAGTTTGTTATGTTCTGTATCTGAATATGTTACATTTTTTCCCCCATTTTGTGTCACTTTTGGTGTGGAAATCCCTATGGCTGTTGACCCCAATAAGTTACTTTTGTAATCATTCCATCTGGGAAGCATCTTAAACTGCTTTGGCCAGAGTCTTATTTCTTAACTACACTCATGCCCTAGTCACTTCCCGTCTTGACTATTGCAACATGCTCTATACGGGGCTGCCCTTGAAGAGCATCCAGAAGCTCCAGTTGGTGCAAAATGCAGCGGCCCGCATGGTTTTATGCAGACCCCGGTGTGCACATGTATCACCTCTCCTGCAGGAGCTGCATTGGTTGCTGATTTGGGGGTTCTCATGTGCATGTGCAGAGATGCACAGTGTGTGCAGGGGGGCTTGCGCACATGCGCAGAGATGCATGATGCATGGGAGGGTCTCACACACATGTGCAGAGATGCATGGTGTGCGCGGGGGTCTCACGCACATCCGCAGAGGTGTATGGCACACGGGGATCTTGTGGCATGTGCAGAAACATGTAGCATGCACATGTGCAGGAGGTGTGGGGGTGGCCTGCGCGCATTGCCTTCTGGGTGTTGGCATGCAAATGCACCCGCACGAGCACTTGCAATTTTCAACATGGCAGCCCAAAAAGGTTAGCCACCATTGCCCTAGGGAGATACACCTGGTGGTACCCAGAAGAAGGGCCTTCTCCATGGTGGCTCCCTCTCCATGGGACATCATCCCCCCAGAGATTAGAACAGCCCCCACTTTAATACTCTTCCGGAAGGTGCTGAAGACGTGGTTCTGCCAGCGGGCCTGGGGAACCCAGAGCTTGTGAGATGTGCTGTTGTTGGGGTGGGTGTGGGACTATTATTTTTATCAAGTTATTATTTTCTTTTATTCACTATGTGTGTGTGTGTGTGTGTGTATGTATATGTATATGTGTGTGTGTGTGTGTGTGTGTGTGTGTGTGTGTGTGTGTGTGTATATATATATATATTTATATATATTTATATTCATGCACCTTGAGTTGAATAGGTAGCAATAGAAAATTTCTAAAATAAAATAAATAAATCTTGCTGGATTCTTGTGATAAGAATGGGGAGCCAATCATTGGACGAGCATCCTGTGCCTCTTAGAGGAATACTTAAAACAGGAGCATGTGGTAAGTGTTTTTCTACCTGTCGCTCAGAGATAGACTCTGCAAAAATCCACAGGAAATGCACTTAAGACACCCTGAAGGAAATACAGGGGGTCCGAGGCTTAGGATCCCAATTGAGCCCAACATTTTGGTTGCTAAGCCCCAAAGTTGCTTTCTCAGGAGGCAAGGGGACTTTCTTGTTTTTCTTTGAAAACGTTTCGCTTCTCATCCGAGAAGTTTCTTCAGCTCTGACGGGATAGGGTCAGATAGATCTGTTGCTAACTGAAATATTTTTAACCGAGTTTTGCCCCATTTCATGACATTTCTTGCCATAGTTGTTAAGGGAATCCCTGCAATTGTCCCACCGGTTAATTGTCCTCCCTGTTAGGAAGTTTCTCCTTAATTCCAGGTTGCTTCTCTCTTTGGTTAGTTGTTAAGTGAGTCACTGCAGTTATTAACTTAGCAACACGGTTGTTAAGAGAATCTGGCTTCCCCACTGCCTTTGCTTGTCAGTGGGTCGGGACATTGTAACCGTCATAAATACGAGTCAGTTGCCCAGCATCTGAATTTTAATCACATGACCCTGGGGATGCTACAACCGTCATTAGTGTAAAAATGGTCATAAGTCACTTTTTTCAGTGCCGTTGTAAGCTTTGAATGGTCATTAAACTAACGGTTGTAAGTCAAGCACTACCAGTAATGGTTTCACAGCTAACTTTCCTGCAAGTGTAATATTGAAACTTTCCTGCATGGATTTATTTGGATGGTGGAAACTTATATTCTTTCTTGCCTTTTATATAAGCTTCAGTTAGTGGCCTGAAATAACTTTTTTCTTCAGATCAGATTGGTGGCGTGGTCAATTTGAACCTGCAGGCGTTTTTCTCTTTTCTCTCTGTGTGTGTGTCTTGGTTTTCATGGCGATCATTGTGACTCTTGCGGGTGGGGTGGGGGGGGGTTTCTCCTCTCTCAGTGGTTTGAGCTTCAAATCCAAGTTAAGGGCTTTTCCCCCCCCTTCTTCTTCTCATTTTCTGTTTTCAAAAAGAGCAGAGAAAGAAAGGACTGTGTGGCAGGAAGGCTTTGCATTTCGCGTCATTGCATCTTCCTGGAGCGCGGAGAATGCGATTTCTTCCTCCCTCTGTCCTGACAAGTTGAAGCTGGGGTAGGAAGCACCGGAGTGGGGACAGGCCCAAACCTGCCAATCAGAGAGCGTCCTGGAATTTTCAGGTGGTCCTCGACTTGCGACCACAGTTGAGCCCCAAACTTATATTTGCTAAGGGAAGCATTTGTTCAGTGAGTTTTGAACCATTTTATGGCTTTCCTTGCCACAGTTGTTAAGCGAATCGCTGCAAGTTGTTGAGCGAGTGACCCGGTTGTTAAGTGAATTTGGTTTCCCCATTGACTTCGCTTGTCAGAAGGTCGCAAAAGGGGGATCACATGTCCCTGGGGTGCAGCAGCCGTCACAAATAGGAACCACTTTCCAAACATCTGCATTTTAATCCCGTGACCATGGCGATGCTGCAACAGTCATATGTGGAGAACTCACAGCTTCTGGAGACAAGTTGTTCCATTGATTGCTTGTTTGAAATGTCAGGAAATTTCTCCTTAATTCCAGGTTTCTTCTTTCCTGGATTAGTTTCCACCCGTTGCTTCTTGTCCTGCGCTCAGGTGCTTTGGAGAATGTCTTGACTCCCTCTTCTTCTTTGGGGCAGCCCCTGAGATATCACTGCTGCTCTCCTGTCCCCACTAGTCCTTCTTTCCATTAGACTAGACACACCCAGTTCCTGCAGCCCTTCTTTATATGATTTAGTCTCCAGGCATTTAATTGTTTTAGTTGTTCTTCTCTGCAATCTTTCCAAGAGTCTCAGGTTCTCTCTTATATGGCCAAAACTGGATGAAGCATTCCAAGTGTGGTCTTACTAAGATTTCACCTGAAATCCCTCCGAGATGAAGACTAAATCGTTCCACTGGTTAGTTTTCCTCACTCTTAGGAAATTTCTCCTTAGATCTAGGTTGCTTCTCTCCTTGATTAGTTTCCATCTGTTGCTTCTTGTCCTGCCCTCTGGTGCTTTGGAGAATAGCTTGACTCCCTCTTCTTTGGGGCAGCCCCTGAGATATTGGAAGGCTGCCGTCATGTCTCCCCTAGTCCTTCTTTTCATCAGATTAGACCAGTGGTGGCTAACCTTTTTCGGCTCCTGTGCTGATAATTGTGCACGCTCGTGTGCCAACACCCAGAAGGCAATGTGTGCTGCCCCCCCCCGCTCCATGCGCATGCCTGCATGACTCCTTTATGTGCCGTGCATTTCCCCTTTGCACGCAGCATGTCTCTGCGTATGCGTGTGCATCTCCCGCACACTCCCCTCTGCCCCCTGTGCATGTGCGCCAAATACCCAACAGCTGATCAACTGTCGGGTGGTGGCGCACACATGCATGCGCAGTGGGGCTCCTCCGGGCAACCTTTCACGTGCCAGGGGAAATGGCTCCACATTCCACTTCCAGCATGCGTGGCATAGGTCCGCCAACACAGGACTAGACATACCCAGTTCCTGCAACTGTTCTTCATAGGTTTTAACCTCCAGCCCCCAAACCTGGATGCAGGATGTAGGTCTTCTCTGTGGTGGCCCATGCCTTCTGGAATGATCTCTTCCCCCGAGATATGGCAGGCCTCAAACCAGTTGGCCTTCAGTATGTCTGTGAAAACTTGTTTTTTTCCTCAGGCCCTGGATAGTTGGACTTCCCCTCTGTGGAGACATATAAAAATGAGTTCCTGGTTGCCCAGCAATGTTTTGGATTGTAATCTGGATTTTTAAGCTTTTGTTCTTTGGCAGCTACGCCAAATGCTGGAGTTGCAATGTTTAAGTTGGGCGGCCATGTCAGTTGTTTGAAGGCATGAATTCCACCAGTGGGCCGATGGAAAGAACCGTGCCCTTTGAAGGAAAAACAGAGGACTTTTGGCTATTTTTTTTTCACCTCACTAAAAATATTGTCATGATGGCTAGCTGGCCTTAGGTTTGGGGAGAAGGCGAGATCGATTTGGATGAAACTTTTATCCTGTTAGGGACCTTGTTGGTCTATCACATCTTGTTAAGAGGCCCATGATATGCCTTCCATCTTTTTACCTCAATATTTCATTTATTCCCGAGGGTGCTTCTTTTATTTTTGAAGAAGGATTTGGTGTCAGCACTGAAGGAAAGAATCTCTTGTGGCTTAAATGTGTCCTCCTTAAAGTTTTCTTTTGTGTAACCTGCATGTAAATACAGTGTGCAATCTTTTTTCCCCTCCCTTACCCAGTTGGGCAATGTGTACTTTTCCCTAATTTGCTCCTCTCTTGTTTATGTTTGCACTTAAGCCTGGGGTCTAATTTGGACATTTTTGCAGCTGATGAGCAGTTTAGTTGGGTAGGGCAGCAATTTTGAGGTAGGTTTTGATTGCCACTTGCAAGAAAATCTCCTTAGCAAATTGCCATGTTAATCAAAGTTAATTAGGCTGTGGAAGACATGACCCTCCTCTCTCATACCAAGGAAGCGAATTTTTATTTTTAAACAAGATGATTTTGAGGGAATTGTATGAAGGAAGGTCCTGGGTTCAGTCGGATACTTTCTGATGGGATGGCCAAAGGCTCCACTCGGACAGGGGATGACATTTCGAATATGAACAGATTATAGTTGTCTCATTTCTTCTCCAAGGCTTATTGGCTGCTGATGGTGGAGGAGGGATATGTTTTAGTTGTTCTCCATTTAAAAAAAAAAACTGCAAGTAACCACGATTTGATTTCTCATGTCGTGCCAGTAAACCTAGCCCTGGTAGATATTTGAGAGGCCACAAAAGCTGATCTCAGCACTTTCATTCAGGGTCTCTGTTATTTATCCCTGTTTTTGATGACAATCTCTTATTTATGCAGGCAGAAGATTTCAACTGATGCATTCAGGCAACTGCTCCAAATTACATGTGTCAGGAAAATCATTTTTCCAAACTTTGAGGGAGAGAATATTAATTCAAGAGTGTGAATGGATACGGGCACTCTTTATATGACATCCAATATGGGTTTGATTTGTCTGTCTGTCTGTCTGTCTTGTTTCCAGCTTGTCATTGATAATAGGAATAGAATAGAATAATCCAGCCCCCTGCTCAAGCAGGAGACCCTATACCATTGCAGACAAATGACTGTCCAGTCTCTTCTTAAAAACCTCCAGTGATGGAGCCCCCACAACTTTTGAAGGCAAAGCTGTTCCACTGGTTAATTGTCCTCACTGTCAAGAAGTTTCTCCTTAATTCCAGGTTGCTGCTCTCTTGGATTAGTTTCCATCCCTTGTTTCTTGTCCTGTTCTCTGATGCTTTGGAGAATAATTTCACCCCCCCTTCTTTGGGGCAGCCCCTCAAATAACTGGAGTACTGCTATCATGTCCCCCTTGCTCAAACCCAAATTGTGCAACCGTTCTTCATATGTTTTAGTCTTCAGGCCTTGAATCATCTTAGTTGCTCTTCTTTGCACTTTTTCCAAAGTCTCAACGTCTTCTCTATAATGTGGTGACCAAAACTGAATGCAGCATTCCAGGTGTGGCCTTGCTAAGGATTTCTAAAGTGGTACTAATACTTCACCTGATTTTGCTTCTATGCCTCTGTTTATACAACCAAGGATTGTATTAGCTTTTTATGGCTGCTGCCACACACTGCTGGCTCATGTTAATGAAGATGAAGGTGCTCAAACTATTTACCAAAGCACTAGAAGGTAAGACAAGAAACAATGGATGGAAACCGAATAAGGAAAGAAGCAGCCTAGAACTCAGGAGAAATTTCCTGACAGTGAGAACAATCAACCAGTGGAACAGCTTTGCCTTCAGAAGTTGTAGGTGCTTCATCACCAGAGGTTTTTAAGAAGAGACTGGACAATAACTTATCTGAAATGGTATAGGTTCTCCTGCTTGTCCATGTAGTTGGATGAGCTAAAGGTCCCTTCCAACTCTGTTATTCTATGTTATTCAATTCCTACAGAAGTTCTCCTGTTCAAAGGTAGCTTGTTGATTTTTTTGGATTCCTCCTCACTATTGTTGTTGTTCCTTCCAGTTGTTGCCTTTCTGGTTGCCTACCATCAAAACAAAGCCCTCATTGGAGATCGAGGCCTTCTGCCATGCAAGCTGTACTTGGAGAATGTGAAGCGCCATTTCAAGGGCAGAATAAACATGGAGACATTAAGCTATGCCCCAACCCTGATTTGGTTCTTGGATTGGTCCAGCATGGACAGCATCCTTGATGCCTTCGCTCTCATTGGTTTGGCCATCTCGGCATTTGTCCTGGTCACTGGATGTGCCAACATGATTCTGATGGCTGCTGTGTGGACGATCTACCTCTCCTTAATTAACGTGGGACAGATCTGGTAAGCCGACTTGTTTCTTTTTTAATGCAATTTATTAATTTTCCATTGTTTACATTTGTTAGTGCTTAATAAGCATCATATTGTCTGGATATTTAATTTACTTAACAATACAAATTACATTCTTAATCTCCATCCCTTTTTTCCAACCACCGGTAAAATAAGTTCCACGTTTGATAATATTCTGTGTCTTCTTTCTGTTTGATTTTCAATATAAGTCTATCCATTTCTGCACAATCCAGTATCTTCCTAATTATCTCTTTGTGTCACGGTGTTTCTTCATTTTTCCAATATTGTGTGAATATAATCCGGTGTTAGGACATGTAATGTTAGATATATACTTTGCTTATCAAGTTTTTCTGATTATTTATTATGCCTAATAAAAACAGTTCAGGTTTAAGAACTATATATTTCCCTATCAAATTTTCTATCCACCTATGTATTTTTGCCCATTATTTTTTTTTGCTTTTATACAAGTCCACCACATATGATTTGGTTACATTTCCAACATTTGCTAGACATATTTTTAAACATTTGGCTAACCTAACTGATGGTAAATGCCATCTATAAACCATTTGATATAAATTTTCTTTATAAGAAGCTGCCATTGTTAATTTATAGTTCCTTTCCCATAAGTTTTGCCATTTCTTAATTCTGTATTATAGCCAAAGGTTTTTCCCATTGTACCATTGTGTCTTTTTCTTGTTCGTCCTCCATTTTCCACTTTAGTAAGAAATGGGGCGCTGGAAGGGAATGAGTTTTATATGACTTAGCGATTGAGGCTCTCAACCACCTACCAATTGTTGAAGAGGAAATCTTAGGCTGAAACGAAACAAAGAGGGCCTCTGTCTTTCGAAGGGGTGCTGTGCGTTCTAAATATATGCGTAGGGCCAGTCTTACATCAAGACTATGCCTCTGGCGTTCAAGTCCGTGAGATGGAGCTGGACAAAAATTTGGGAGCACCAACTCCTGTGCTCTGTGGAATGCTGAATTGATTTTCAGGGCAAAGGTTGGTCTAAGGACCACTCTGTCCAAATGAAATATACAAAGATCCTTGTTTACAGATAAGGCTGCCAATTCGGAGATTCTCCTTGCTGATGTTATCGCAATTAAGAAGACCACTTTATATGTCAGAAAGTGGAGACTCGTGGTCCTCAGGGGTTCAAAAGGATCTTTAGTAAGTGCGGTTAACACCCTGTTCAGGTCCCAAGTTGGATAATGATGCACTAGAGGAGGCTGCAAGTTGGTGGCTCCATGAATAAAACTGTGGGCACGCAGATGATGAGAAATGGGGCGAAGGTCACCCCAAGAGATAACTGAAGTGAGGGCCGCTACTTATCTCCGTAAGGTGTTTGGAGATAGGCCCTTGTCTAGGCCCTCCTGTAAGAAGTCTTAACAGTTATGCTACTGATGAAGAGGTGGGATCAACCTGAGATCTAACATACCAGTGGCAGAAGATGGTCCAGGTGGCATTATATATTCGATTTGTTGAGGAGCATCTAGCCACTTGTATAGTGTCAATGACTTTGTTGGAAATTTCCTCACTTCTCAGACGTCTCCGCTCAATCTCTATATGGCTAGGCAGAGCCATTGTGGGTCCAGGTGCTGAACTGGACCTTGAGAGAGCAGGACTATCGACGGTGGGATTCTCCATGGGTCTTCCATCGACAGATCCCTCAGGTCCACGAACCATGTTCGTCTGGGCCAGTAGGGAGCCACCAACAACATTTCTGCCCTCTCCTCCAGAAGCTTCTGGATTAACTTGGGTATCACCGGGAGAGGAGGAAACGCGTATAGAAGACCTGGTGGCCAACGGCAGTGGAGAGCATTGACGTCCTCCACCCCTCATGATGAGATGAATCGCGGTAGTTGTGAATTGAGGAGGGAGGCAAACAGGTCGATAACCAGTTGGCCGAACCTCTGGACTGCTTCCTGAAAGATAGTTGGGTGCAGGCGCCATTCTGACTGATCGACTGTGGCCCTGCTGAGCCAGTCTGCCTGGGCCTTTGATAGTCCTGATATGTGCTCCGCTTTGAGGGAGAGCAAATTGTTTTTGGCCCAGAGGAGCAATCTCTCCACCTCTCTCATCAGTTGCCTGGAATAGGTTTGCTTGTTTATATGGGCCTTTGTTGTGATGTTGTCGGTCGGAACAAGGACATGTTTGGACTGAAATAGCGGAAGAAACCTGCGGAGAACTAGGTGGACCGTTCCCAGCTTCAACCGGCTGATGTTGTACGATTGCTCTGGAACGGTCCAATGTCCTTGAGCCATGTAGGAATGGTAGTGAGCTCCCCATCCAAACAGGCTGGCATCTGTCATGACTGTTGATCTGTGTGGATCCTTGCAAAGACAACCCCTGTTGATTGTGGGTACTGTCCACCAGTGAAGTGATCTCAGGTTGTTTGACAGTACTGTGACTCGAATCTTGGAACTGTCTCTCCCGAATCGTTGGTACGGCAGCAGGAACCATTGCAGAGTTCTGGCATGAAATCGGGCCCAAGGGACAACAGAGATGCAGGAGATCATTTTCCCTAATAATTGAGATAGGAGGGCTAGGGGTACCTTTTAAGGGTTCTGATCTCCTGGGACTAATTTTCTAATACTTTCCTGCCTGTCTGGGGAAAGGAAGACCTTGCCTTCTATGGTGTTGATAATGGCCCCTAGGTGAATTAATCTAGTCGAGGGAGATAGGTGACTCTTCGCCCAATTTATAGAGAACCCATGCTGTTGAAGGGTTCTTATAGTAATTTGACTATCCATATTGGCCTGTTGAATGGATGATGACAGGAGTAAAATGTAATCCAGATAACATTGCAGTCGGATGGGCCTATCGCTGAGGAAAGCGGCCAGGGCGGCTAGAACCTTGGTAAAGGTCCTAGGAGCAGATGCTTAGCCAAAAGGGAGGGCGACCTACTCATAGCGTAGATTATTATAGCAAAACCTGATAAATTTTCTGTGTGAAGGTCTAATTGGGATGTGTAAATATGCCTCTGTGGGGTCTATAAATGTAAGTACATCGCCCTGTCTGATGCTAAGCAGAATGGATTGTAGGGTGATCATTTTAAATTTATGATAGACTAGGGATCGGTTAAGGCGTTTTCAGTCTAAAATTGCCCTCCATCCCTCCGAACTTTTAGGGACCACAAAAAAGTGCAAATAAAATCCCTTACCTTGTTGGTCCAGTGGGACCGGTTGAATGGCCCGGATCTCCAGTAGGTGGGTGATAGCTGCCTGCATAAGAGGTCTTTTCCCGGGGTCCCTAGAGAGTGGGCATCTTATAAAAAAATTGGGGGGATGGTGGTTGTTGAGGTAATTCCCCGTTAGGAGAATGAGAGCATTACAGGGAGATGTATTTGAGAGAAGTGTTTGAATAATACACACACAGTACACAGATACACTGTGCAGTAAATATAGGTTTTTACTTCCAGAAAGGTTTAAGCAAAGTTCAAGATAACCAGTCCAAAAGTCATTCACAGGTAAATCAGTCAGTTTTTCAATCCAGGGATAATCCAAATATCAAAGTCCAGTGTCAAAAAACAGTTTAGTAACAGCCAGCTACAAAACCTATCTTAGTTAATTCTTTAACTATACATTGGTTCCACTCATATCCTGATTGTTTCAAACCATAAAGACTCTTTTTCAATTTCCAGCAATCATTATTATCATCTTTATCATTTTTGAGACCTAAAAGTTTCTTTAAATATATAGTGTGTTGCAATGGTGCATGCAGATATGCCGTTTCTACATCCAAATGATTTACAATATATTTCTCCTTAGCTGCCCACACTAATCCTGCCCTTAATGTAGTAGCCTTCAGACTAGGTGCAAACATTTCATTGTAGTCATTTGCTGTCTGATTGAACCCTTGTGCTACTAACCTGGCTTTATGGGTAACAGTCCCATCTACACCTGTCTTAAGTTTATACATCCATTTACATCCTATGGCATGTTTACCTGGTGGTAACTTAACATTTTTGTATACCTCCAGTCTTTTTAATGATTCCAGTTCCTTATCCATTGCTTTCTGCCAAGCAGCCTGATCCTTAACAGGATACAGTTTTAGTTCACTATAATTACTTGGAACTGTATTCAATTGGCACACAACACTAGCCTGATATCTATCAGGTGGTCATGTTACTAGGGTTGAACGTCTTGGTAATACAGGGCTAACTGGTGGACTTTCCTGTGCCACCTGCTCCTGTGCTTCTACCTCCTCCTGTGCCTGTTCTACTACGTCCTCCTCTGCTTCCTCTTTAATGGCTATTCGTGGTTTACTGCTTTTATCTTTAGGGACTATTTGGGTGTCAATAATAATATCATTGCTGGATTCCTGTTCCGGTTTATCCCATCCAACGTGCTCAAGAAATTTTGCACTAGCACTACAATAAACATGAGCTGTGCCTTGTTCCCAGAATCTAAATGATCTATGGTTGGCCTCATAACCCACAAAAAATAACTTCTTAGCTCTATGTTGCCCTTTCAGTCTTACTTGTGAGGGAATACGCACCCATGCTGGAGCTCCAAATGTGTGTAGGTAACTTACATTTGGTTTTCTGCCATGCCAACGAGTGAATGGCAATTCTCCAGTTGTTGTATTAACTACATTGTTCAAAACATGGTTACTACACATTATGGCTTCACCCCACCATGTTTCAGGTAAACCTGAATCAGATAACATAGTGCGAGCCATGGTTTGTAATGTTTGCCCTCTTCGTTCTATAAACGAGTTATGTTGTGGTCTGTAAGGTGCAGAACGTTTATGCTCAACACCAGCCAATTTTAACGTAGTTTGGAATCTTTTGTTAACAAACTCAGTCCCATTATCAGTAACTAATGTAGCAGTTTATAGAGTGAGCCTCTTGCCCCCAACAAACTGGCTTCTCATTTTACCAACCTCGGAAGGATGGAAAGCTGAGTCAACCTTGAGCCTGGTGGGATTTGAGTGCAGCACTGCACTCTAACCACTGCACCACAAATATATAAATAAATAAAAGAACTGGTGG